CACTTTGACTTCCAATGCAACAGAGAGACTGAGTAGTTGCATGATCTTGGAATATAAAAAACATTCGTGGGCAACGCAAACTTGGATTTTTAGTTCAGTTGGCTCTTTAATATCAGAATATTATACATATTATTGGTCAAGAAGTTACAAGTTCGAATCTCAACGTTGTTTATTTTTTAAAAAAAAATTAATATTTACAAGCGAAATTTGAGTTAAAGTTTTTATTTTCATGAATTTTATGTTTTAAGATTGTGCTTTTGGTCGAGTTATTTTTTTGAGAGAGTAATCCAAATAGTCCAAACCATGCACTACTCAATGGGGTTGCCCTACAAGATTTGAAAAGGAAAACTACTTGAGTTTGTTTTCGTTTTTGTTCCACCCAACATTGAATGGGACGAGACCCCAATATGACAATAGGAATATTTTCTCTAAAAAAGATTAACTCTTTTTTTAAAAAAAAAATGAGCCACATCTTCTGAACAGATACTACTAATTTCTAATAGAATTAATAATGTCGAAAAGAAAATAGTTGAACTTTTTTTTAAAAAAAAAATGAGCCACATCTTCTGAATAGATACTACTAATTTCTAATAGAATTATAAATGTCGAAAAGAAAATAGTTGAACACAACGTTTGACAAACATCTCGTGTTTGAGATCACTAAAAGCTTAGAAAAATTTGTTTGGTTAATCAAAATTTGACTCCAAAGTCAAAATTAATTTGGGAGTGTAATTGAATGGGGTGGGAGAGGTGAGTTTGGGTCGGGATCGGGTGGGGGTGTACTGGGGGTTAGGGTTAGGGGGTAGGAATCGTGAATTTTACAAACAGAGCACCGGAGCACCCCGGGTCATTCCTTGACATTGATTCCCAATGTCATGGGAATCCCCCGCTATAAATATATGCGTACCACATGCCCTGCCAACAAATAAGAAACAACGGAGTAGAGAGGAAATTGAATAGGGATTTTATGCGGATGTCATGATCGTGAAGAAGAGGAGAACCGAGAGCCGAGGCATAACTCCAACCGTTGCAATGCTGTTGATGCCGCGGTTCGCCGGCATCTTCCTCTTCAATTTGATTTCATTGTTTTGATTTGTCAAATAATCAAGGTGAGTACGTTGACATTTAACGCTAGATACGTAGATAGATTCGAAATTCATGTTCATAGTTTCGTATTATTGATTATGTGGTGTATCTGTTTATAATTCAATTATGATTTATCTATATTATATGTTATTGTTGAAATTAGTTGAACGAGGATAACCAGGTACGTTTTCTTACTTCGAATTGTGTGATTTGCATGATAATAATCTTTAAAAACATTATATGTATCAAACAGTTTAGAATATGATAAAAATCGGTTGAACCTATACCCTCTTGACGCTAGACGGTGGCCTAGTACCGTCTAGCGGTACCCAGCTACCGCCTCAGGCTCATTGCTGATGCCGGTACCTATGAGGGACGGTCGGACGGTACCGTACCAACGGTACCAAGGTACTGCCAAGTGGTACCAAGGTACTGGGCACCATATTGGCAGCTGCAAATCTCCGTTATTAGACTGTTTGACCCGATGTAGAACCCGAATTGACTCTGAAACCTTACAGGTTGCATGACGGTAAGTGGAAGGTGTTTACACCCGCCACTAGGCCCCTAATTGAGTTATATGTTTGATTATATGATTATTGTTTTCCCTCTTTTATTAATTAAATATATTCTTGTTGTGCTTTGGAAGTAAATAAGGAATTGAGTTTGATGTTGGAATAAGTCTGAATTATAAAGATGTTGTAAATATGTGATTAGGCTACCTAGGGGAACTCCATGACTGCCTAAGTAAGATTGTAAGCATAAATGTCAATAGGTAGAATCAACCCCGCGGATCTGATATCTGACGGTTTCGGGTTAAAACGTATGTGCGAGATCCACAAACTATTGTTTCGAAGGGGACAAGGGTACCACCCACCTAGCGGAGAACTCCTTCGTTGGTCATCAGGTTATGTTGTGTCATAAGGTATTGGATAAGGTGTATTTGAGTCATGAATGTAGGTAGTGGCTTTAAGTATGAAAATAAGGTTATAAATAAAGAGTAGTTAGTAATTATGTTATGTGCTATAAATAAAGATGACTAAGGTTACGAATAGTGACTTGTGAATTTATTTAATGACTATTATGTAATATTATACTGTATACTTGTGTGCATGATATTGTATGAAGTTATGAGCTAGTGGGTTCGTCTATGTGCGTAGTCGAAACGTTAGATATTTCTCACTTAGCATCAATGCTGAACGTGTAGCCCTTTTTCATATTTGCTGCACTTAGGTAACATGAATGATGAATAAGAAAATAATCTGAAGGGCAGCGAGGACGAGAAGATTGATGGATGTTGGCGTGGGGAGTTATCTAATTTAATTATTGCATTTGAATTTATTATGTTTAAAGGGCAAGAACCCAGAGTTATATTTGAATTAAGTATCTAAAGCTTCCTTGCCGTTTTAGTTAACTCCGATGAATATTTTAAATAATGTTAGAATTAAATGTTTTTAAATTGTTTTGAAAACGGGTTGTTTGGGTGCTAATTTAGTAGCAACCCGGTTTGCTAACTCGTTGGTTCGGATTACGCGGGTCGAAGTGTTACAATTTCCTATGCCACAATATGAAGCTTGAACTTTTAGTTGAATTGGTTACTTGACATGATATCAGAGCCTTGTTGACTAAGAGGTTACGAGTTTAAAACTCAGTGTCATCCAATTTTAAAACATTAAGATTTCACGTGCAAGGCTTGAAAAAAAGACTACGCCTACCCGTGAGAGGGCGTGTTAGAATATAAGTAACATTTCATGGGCCGCAAATACAAGCTTGAGCTTTTGGTTAAATTTCTTACTTGACAAAATAAACTAAGTTAAGTAACTAATAACCAATACTTGATATATTTCATAAAAGATTGAATTATAAATAATACATAATACTCTTTTGAGGCAATGTGCAAGTACACACCTTGCACTTGCTCAAGCAATTTTTAGATACAAGGTTGCGTGAGAGAGTAACTGAGAGTGGCATGGTAAAAGTAAAATATATACCTAGTATATGTTAATCTTTTTGAGTGATACAGACTATTATTAACTTTATTATAATATAGTAAGATGTATATCAGTTAAGGAAATGATAAGTTATAATTCAGATAACTTAAAAAGAAAGTGATATATTATTCTTCGAAAGAATAAAGTAATATTTAAGGGAGATGCTAGGGGTACACCGTGTACCCCATTTGTACACCACCCCCTCCATAACCACTCATTTATTTTTTATTTTTATTTACTTAATTTTTTTTAAATTTCTTGCCTATTTAAGTGGTAATGGAGGGGGACAAATGGGGTACACCTTTGGTGTACCTCTAGCATTTTCCAATATTTAATTATGAACAAACTTATTTAAATGAAACAAGCTTGTTCATTTAATAAACGATTGGACATGCATAGGCGGGTGTGGTTGTCATTTATGGGGGAGAGAGAAGGCCTCGAATGAGCTAATGGTATGTTTGGAAACATGAATTTGGATTTCAAATCCGGATTTGGCTCAAATTCCATGTTTGGGAAACTTAAAAATTTTGAATTTAGATTTGAGTCAAATTCTTTTCTTTGATAACAAAGCTTAATTTGAAATTTATGCATATCTCATTGTCATTTGAAATTCAAGATTGAAATGAAATACTAGTTGTCAAACACTACCTAATATATTTGTTTTGTAGGAAACAAGAAAAACAGGAAACTAATTAGTAACATCCCAAGTCTCGGTTTGTGTATCCACTCTCATGCAAGAGCATGTACAAAACCATTAAAAGAACACACGTAAGAAGTGAAAACATACTTAAACTTAGTCACAAATGCATTACATTCAACAACTACACTTCTTTTTTTTTGTTTGAAGTCAACAACTACACTTCTAAAATAAGAGAAATTAGAATAAAAACACTATTCATCCCCATTAGCAACAATTTGCACTACTTGTTGGCTATCAGAGTATAGCTTTAGTTCTCATATATCATGATCTAGGGGTGAACAAATGTTGAAGTGATTAAACCGCAATTTTTTGAAAAAACCGAAAAATATTGAACAAAAATACTATAAAAAGCGAACCAAACAGAATTCAATAATCGATACGATATTTGAGAATGATACGAGATAACTTCCCATACCAAAAATCTCAAACCGGACATATATACAAATATGTTATAAATATGTGAATCTTTCTATATTTCTTTGATCATGAATCAATAAGTTAATTTTAAAAATTTGGTTTAAATTTTTATGTGTGACTTGTACTTTATTTGACTTTTAGTTTTCCTTAGATAAGTTTTAAAAAAATTACCAATTATTTGAAATAGTATTTTATTACCATTTTGTTTGTGAAGTAATATATTTATTTATTTCAATGTAGTTTCAATTTTTAAAAATTGGTAATTTTAAAATGTAAAGTAGATGCGTAGACATTCATCTTGATGTATACTAAAATAGTAAAATCTCTACCTAACTATTCAAAATAGATACTCCCTCCGTTTTTAAAAACACTTCATCTTTCATTTTTTTTCACTTCCAACAAAACACTTCCACTTTATATTAAAAAACCACTTTACCCTTACTTTTTTATACCCTACCTATCACATCATACTTTTTCTCTAATAATCTACCCATCACATCAAGGGTAAAATTGGAAGTCAACTACAATTTAACACTTCCTTATTTTTCCATTTTTTCAAAGTAGAAACTCTTTTTTAGAACGGAGGGAGTATTTCATAATCGGGAATCGGTACGAAATTACACCGCATAAAAATGAAAGTTTTTATGCCTGTAAAATGTAGGATAGTGTACAAATTGGTAATGGACCATAACATTTAGACCCTTTTTGAGCCCTAAGCAAAAGGCTTTTTTAGCCTTATAGGCCCGGAGCTTTTTTATATTTATTTATTACGGCCCGTGGCTTTTATTCCCCCAACCGTAACCCGCGAAACCCGCGTGCCCATCTGCCATATAAAAACCGTTTTCTTCCACAGCCCTGGTCTCCTTTTCCTCTCTCATCTCGCGAGGACCTCAAACCCTGGTCTCCATCTCTATCTCTAATCTCTCTGTGTACATATACCGCTGTGAGCTCGTATTGGGCTGCAAGCTGAGACCAGATTCTCCGAATCCATGTCAATTCGGTTCAAGTTTAGGAGCTCGGCGATCTTCGACTCCGTGGACCTGGAAGGACGGCCGTCGATCTCGGTTCGGGAGCTGAGGTTGAAGATCATCCGCAATAAGAATCTCAATATGTGCCAGGACTTCGATCTGGTGTTCTCCGATTCCGTTACCGGCGAAGGTCAATCGATCGTATCTTAGCTCGTTTTCTCGCTTTATACCTAGTTCGTTTCATTCTCTACGTGTATATATGTTTTTGAATTTCAGCGAAGGCAATGAAGTATCTGATCTTTTTTATGGGGGATTTTGATGCAGAGTACAATGATGAGAACTTTCAGATTCCTAGTGGTGCGTGTATAATTGTTAAGAGAGTTCCGGCTGGTACTCTGCCATCAGCGAACACGTGAGTTTGTTGACTGTCTATTGATTTAGTGTTCGTGCACACATGGAATGTTTTTCTTGATTCATGAGCTCATTATTGAGCTTTTCAAATGAGAAATTCAGCTCAGGATATGCTAATCATGTGGATGTGTATATTATGAGACTGGTATAGTTAAAGGAGTAACATGCCCCTTTGATGAAAGTATTAGACCTATTAAGGTTTAACTTTTTCGCTCTAGATGTTACTTAAAATGACATTTCTTACACACACACACATATTCACATCTAATTGCAGTTTTGCAATTAGATATATATATTTTTTGGAGAGACAATTAGATATATATAAACACACACACACAATTATATATTCACATCTAATTACAATTTTGCACATCTTCTTTTCTCGTGTAAATTGGTATTGGATTCCTTTTTCACCATTCGTTGGGATAATATTTTACCTCCATATTTTGCAAAAAGGGTTGCTAGTCATTCAAGGCTCTCTAAACATTTCCAAATTTTGAACGTCATTAGGGGCTTTATAAGTCTTACTCCCTTTGTCTTTTTTACCATTTTTGTAAGTCTCACTATTTTTGTACCATACCATATTTGGTTATGTTTGTGTGGCTTTATACCACTTTTATTAATTCTCCTGCCACTTCAGCATGTCCCAAAAATAGTGGGATGGAGGGAGTGCATTTAATGTACATCAGTAAATTTTTTAAAAGCCTTTCAAATCCAGGAATTTGGTCATTTGGATCCTTCTCATGTATTCTCTACTAACTTCCTCATCATGAAAAGAAATGTTGCTAAGCTCGGGATTCATCACAGCTATTCATCAAGCTCTTGTTTTCATCTACTCTGTATTCTCTATCTCTTCATCCCGAATAGGAAGCATCTAGTTCTTGTCCTTGAAGTGTTTCATAAGTCCGGTTCACCATTCATTCTTTTCCACCTTCATTCCAATTTATAGACATCTTTATTCCCATTGCTCGAGTCCAAGTCTTCATACTAATCTTCGTACACTTCACTCTTCTGTTGCCTTTTCTTTAGAATTTTTAAAATTTCTCCAGTTCTCATCCCTTCATTTCCAAAAAAAAAATATGGTGGGTTTATCAAGTTATAATTGAATTACCTAATTTGTTTGAATGCATGTGCATCCATATAGTCAGTAACAGAAATCATTGTTGCACATACTGTAGAGTTGTAATAATGAATATATCTTGAGTTTGACATCTAGTTTCCTCTCTTATGTATGTCGATTTATTGTGCCAGGACGCGTGCTGTTATGATAAATGACTTTGCTAAGAAGGCTTCTGATTACTTCAATCAAGCAGTATGTTTATACTTTAGAGTTGCGTAGATATGCATAATGGATCTAATGGTTTATTATCTCTAACAGTTCACATGCTCTTGCCATTACAATGCCCGCTCAACACATTTTTCTAAGACATTATTTGTATAATGATTGGCTTTCTATCTTATAGTCTGTAAAAGTTGATGATGTTGATGACTTTGGCACCGATATGTGCCTTCCTATTGAGAAGCCATTATACGCGTCGGATCATGAGAGCAATAAGGGAAACTGCTGCGACTTTGATGCAGGACTGCCTGGATCAAGGTTTGTTACCAACTATTTTTTTTGTCATCATTGACACGTTGACAGGGGACAGGGTCTCATGTTTAAATGTTTAGAACATCACTATACACAACCGATTTGTCCATTTATGTTTTGGAAAGAGTACAACTTCTATTAAAGTAACAAGTAACAAACACAATCACTAACAAACACATTGTTTCAATAAAAAAATCAATCACTAATTTCAATTTCGGGCACGCGTCTACCCAAAACATTAATGAGTTGTTTTATGATATGTACTCTCCTCCGTCCCACAAAAGTTTTCTCACTTTCCTTTTTCAACCAGTTTTCCCTTTCATTTTTAGAAAATAATATGTGGTTCAAAATATTTTTCTCTCTTCCAAACAAATTTTAACCACCCACTTTTCACTTTATAACATCTTTTCAACACTACAAGAGATAAGTTTAAGTACCTTGGCTCGATCATTCACGCGGATGGTGAGATAGACCGGGATGTTGCTCATCATATTGGAGCTGGTTGGACGAAGTGGAAGTTGGCGTCAAGGATTTTGTGCAATAAGAAGATTTCAGAAAGGATGAAAGTTGGGTTCTATCGGTTTGTAGTCCGACCGACTATGCTTTATGGTGCGGAATGTTGGGCGGTCAAGAAGGCCCACATTTGTCAGCTGCATGCGGCTGAGATGCGTATGCTTTGCTGGATATGTGGACAAACGAGGTTGGATAGGATTCATAATGAGGTTATTCAAAGACGGATGGGAGTGGCACCTGTGGGGATAAGCTGCGTGAGACCAGGTTGAGATGGTTCGGTCACATGAAGTAGCGTGAACCAGAGGCCCCGATGTGGAGATGCGAGAGACTTTTGGTTGTAGGTGGGTTAAGGGGAAGGGGTAGGCCTAGGAAGAATTGGAATGAGGTTATTAGGCAGGACTTAGGACTTTTGGCTCTCATCAAGGATATGACCTTAGATAGGACCATAGTTATTTAGGCGTCGCGTAGGCGACACTTAGGCGTCTGGGCGAGGGCATATGGACGCCAAATTGCTCGCCTAGATTTTTTAATGTGGAAACACTAGAGAGGAAGATGACTGGAAGAAGCTTGAGAGAGGAAGGAGGAGAAGAAGATCGGAAGAAGACGAAAGAGAGAGACTTACTATTGGAGGAAGAACGAGTTTACCTTACTCGCCGATGCTGATTCATTGTCGCGACTGCCGAGATATCCAGCGACTTCCTCTAAACCCTCTAACTCTCCGACTCTCCATAGTTATTTAGGTTAACTAATTTGGGCTGAGTTTATTACTTTATTAAAAGAGGAGTGGGACTTTACACTTATTAATATGGTTGATTTCACTTTAAAAAAGTTTTAAAAGATCACTAACTTGTAAAAAATATTTACTTATTTTTTTGAATATATTTTTAAATTTTATTTTTTTGAAAAACAACATTCATTCATATTTTTCAGAATATATACTCTTTATTTTTTTGGGTTCATATGTTCTCTTTAATTACTTATCTCATATTATATGCTTTTCCATTAATACCTATAAAACACTCGCCTAGAGGACGCCTAGGGGGACGCCTAATCGCTTAAGCGATTAGATGGTACCCTTGCGCCTAGACTCGCCTAGTCGCTTTAACAACTATGGATATGACTGCTTGGAGATCTAAAATTAGGGTTGCTGGTTAGTCTCTTTACCCGGGGTGGTAGTTTTATTCTCTGCGTTGTGTGCTTTGTAGGCTTTGATATCTTTCTTTCTACACCTATTTATAATGCCTTTTATCTTAGCACTTTCCATATCTTTTTTATTTGCCCCTTGTCCTTCGTTGAATGTGCCTTTGTTGTACTAGTTATTATCTGTGTTGCTTGAGCTTGGGGTGTCTTGGAAACAGCCTCTCTACCTTTAGTGGGGGTAAGGTCTGCATACACATACCATCCGAGACCCTGCCGATGCGGGACTCTATTGGGTTGTTGTTGTGACATCTTTTCATCACTTTTTTTAACCATGAAGACAAAAAGTGCCTTTGTGGGACAGAGGAAGTAATATTTTCAGAAACTTCGTTTAGGCTGTGTTTCATTCTTTGTTGAAGAAAAGTAATCACTCTGTTTTGCTTTCAAGCTGATGTAATTTTTATGCAGAACTTTCACTTTACTTTGTGTTATGCATGCTCTTTATATGGGACATAATTCCAAAGCTTATTCCACTGATTTTCTGATTATGATCTACTGAACAAGATGAGTTTTTTAAATTATAATTAAGGACTAATTTTATTTTTTTGCCTTCAGGTTTGATTGCCAAAATCCAGGGTCAAGTGGCTTAAGTCAAGCTATTTATAAAGGTTTGATATGTCGCTTAATACTTCTTAGGCTATGCTTGGCGAAACACGTTCATGCATTAACTAGGAGCATAGAGCTTATAGATGAAAAGCTAGCTTATTTCTATACTAGTGTTTGGTAGTTGTAGCTTAAAAGGTAGCAAAAAAAATTTAAAATTGATACAAATGATTATATTTACATTAAAAAGGGAAGAGGTTAAAAAGGAAATTACAATGGAAAAAAGTTTGAGTCACTCATTTGAAAATCTGCTAAATTAAGTTTCTGCGGTAAGCTTTGTCATATCAAGTAAGCTCCTTTAAAAATCAGTCTATAAGTGCTAATAACAAGCTTCTAATTAGGTAAAAAATGAGAATAAATGTTCTTGAATATTCCTTTGTGATGGTATCATTTTTCAGGTTCTAATCATAGCGTGGGTGAACAGAACTTGGTGGGAGAAGCAACAACTGAATGGAAGTTCAAAAAGTATAGTTATTTCATTCTCTCTTGACTTGCTTTTAAACTTTATTTATTGCATCCCTGCCTCTTATTGATATTTTGAGGGTGGTGAACTCCATTTTTTCAGGGAACCTGCCGATTTGCCTGTAGAGTTCAAGTGCCCACTCTGCAACACTTTTTTCAAGGAGGCTGTGCTTATTCCTTGCTGTCAGCATAGTTTTTGTAAAAAATGTGAGTAGTTTCTCTGGAAGTAAAGATTTCTGCATGTAAGTACAACTCTGCAGGTTAAATGCATCATGACCAATGTTTGAAAAGCATTTGAAGATTCACAATTCCTTTGATATGCTATGCCTCATGGTCTGATCAAACAATATACTCCCTCCTGTCCTTATTACAATTGACTTTTTTATTGGAGACATAAGGTTCAAAAATGAGTGTCTTAATTATATTATATCACTCCCTCCGTTCCGGAGTATGCGTTGGGCTTCTTTTTGGCACAAAGACCAAGGTGAGGGGAATAAGGGGAGAAGGGTCACAATTACGCTTCTTGGAGAAACCTGCATCTGCACACTAAGGCGAAATTAAACGTTATTCTGCTACTGCTTTTACTCTTTGAATCTCTGCTCACCGTTCTCTTCCTGCATCACCTAGATTAGGCCTTCAGATTTGAATAGGTTATCCAACAAAAAAATTAATAAAAGGGGAAAACCATCTGCAGAAGCTGATGAACGAAAAGAAGACAAAGACGAAGCAATCAAGATGCAGCATCTCACGAGGATGCAGCATCTCATGAGGATCAGGATGCAGTTTGCCTTAATTCTCCAGACCTTTCTGAGTATGGACCACTTAAGACCCCACCATTCTCCAGATCCTCGGAGTAAGCGGACAGATCAAAGACCTCATTATGCAAATCCCGAGACAGAGAGAGAGAGATGTTTCATCGCAGTGTCTTAATGGTGTTGGCGGTGGGAGTTGGTTAAATGAAGGGTATAATGAACTCTTAATATCATCTGTGTTTTTCTTCAAAGGAAAGTGGCAAATACTTTAGAACAATTCAAAAAGGAATACCGGATAAACACTTTGGGATAGAGGGAGTATATATTTTGACATTTTGTGTGAGCTTATAAGTTAGATAACATGTTTTGACAAATACAATGAATTTTGTAGTTTGTAAGCCTTCCAATCAACTTATTTAGGATTTCACAAAAAACGTCAACTAGTGCTTATAATAAGAGGATGAGTGGGTGTATATATCTGTGTGTGTGTGTGTGTACTTGTAATGATTTAAAGCTTCATTTTTTGCGACTTTTGTTTCAGGTATTAGCTTTGTTCTTCTTGAGAAAAAAATTTGCCCAATATGTTTCTCCATCAAATGCAAAGTGGAAGATCTGCTCCCTAACTTATCTCTGCGACAAGCAATTGAGCATTTTTTTGGATCTCAAGTGCTTGGTACAGGCTCACCGAATGATCTGTGTCAACTTGTTCCAGGTGAAGATTTAGCATTTAATCAAGATTCATGAGTTTTAATGAAAGAACAGACTCCTGTATAATCGATATTGTAATTGTTCAATGTTAAATACAGATGGAGAATCTGGAATTCAAGCTAGGGAAATCTCTTGTGCTGTAACTGTTATCCAAAGGGAACCCGACAGCCCCCATTCTCCCTCAGCTACTGGACATGGATCTAATCAAGTTTTGGCAGACTCATTCTATGAGCCACATAGGAGAAGTAAGCCACATAAGATGCATATGTTTGATGGAAAAAGATCTCAATATGCTCACTTAAATCCTCACGGTGGAGCAGATGATGTGCCAATTACCGTGTTTGATGGAGGGAACCAGCCCTTTAACTTATGCAAGACCCGTGTTCATGATGAAGGTGTTTCTCCTTATTAACCGACAACTCTGATATTTTATTGCAAGTCGTTTTATTTTTATAAAGCATTTAGTGTTTAATCTTTTCAATAGCTGGGTTTAGCTCTTAGTTCTTTCAATAGCTGAAATGTTTTCTGCATAGTTAATTTTTCAATTATGTCATGGTGGCGGTGTTCATATTGACACTTAAATACCATCTAGACATGTTGTTTTGTTAGTGTTTCCCCTATTTCTTTTATCATGAAATTTACTTTCACACAGAGATCCTTTATGGCCTTATCCCTTGGTATCATCACCATCATCAATATCAACACCTTATTCCCAACTTGTGGGGGTGGTGGCGTTAAATTTATAGTATTAATTGTTTGTACAGAATTGCATGACAATATGACACTAAGTTAATACAATAAAGCATAGAGAAAATGTTATTTGCAAGATGTTTTTCCTAGCTTCTTAGGAAGGAATACTGAGATAAAAATTCTGGAACTGTCATCATCATAATTTGTTTTCAGTTGTCACATGTATGGAAAAAACAATGGGGTGACGTTAAGTTGAGATATTTACTTTTGTCTTGTCCATAGCATGATTGATATTGCAAACCAACATGCAGATCAGGTGAAGAGTGCCCATGTTTCATTGGTTTCGATACTTGATTTTGTAAAAAATTACTTTTCAGGTGCAGAGACAAAGTTTTGGGCTACTGGTAGGCATAAACAGGTAAATTTGATTATCAAGTGTCTAATTATTTATTATGAGTATTAAGTAAGGAGTATGGGTTAATCATTATCAACAAATATCTTATTGAAAAAAAACTGGTATTTGATGGGAGCACAGTTCATTTGACATCTATATCTGTAACAATGGAACTTAGGGGGGTCGTACTTGTTACATATGTGGATCTCCGGAACATCTTATGAGAAACTGTACTGCCTCAAATTCTCTCGCCATGCCTCAAACAGGTTTGTATATAACCTCAGTTACAGATTTGTGAAATTTGAAGATCTAAATATTAATACATGGTGATCCTTGTGTTTAGGACATCATATGCTGATGGGAGGGATGCCAGGCTATCCATCACCATATTGGAATAACACTATGTATTCACCTATAAGCCCATTCACACATATTTATGGTAATCCAGAAACGATGCCTTTCAGGGCACCCATAATCCCTACACCTACTTTTAGTGCTTCTCCCTATATGCCTTTCATGCCCAGTGGAGTGCCTCTCAATGGGTGAGTTTTTTATATGAATATTTTTTCGGGTATGTTACCAGCTCAAATTCTTTTATGTTTTGTTTATTTTTTTCTTGTTTTTTCCTCACTTTTTTGTTCTTTATTTTCCTTTCAATGTTGTCAATTTTTGTGTGTTTTATTTACTTTTATGTGTTTCTTGGTTTTTTTTAAATTATTTCATTCAAAATACTACCTCCATCCCAATAAACCTTTCCATATTTTGACTTTTTGTGTCAATTTTCTACACACTCTGACTACAACTTGTGAAAAAAATATATTTAGTTATAATGTAAATTTAATATAATTTAGTTCATTTAAGATGTTTTGAATCTTTTGATATATCAACTTTTTATTATTGGTCTATCATGTGTAGAAAGTTGACCCGGAAAGTTAAAACGTGGAAAGTTTTTTGGGACGGAGATAGTTTAATGTAGGATAACCATAGTTTCTACCTTTCTGCAGCCTAAGAAAAGAAGGTATGGCACCTCTGAGCGGAACCAAAACTGGACACCTATTAAACCAAAAAGAATTTATGGAATCTCAACAGCCTAACAACAGAAGGAATGTTTCAGACCAAAACTTGGACAAGTAATTTAATTAAATAAGACCAGCACGATATTTACTTGTATTTTGCTACCAAGAAACACTTTGACAGTAATGCTTACACCTTTTCATTATTTTGCAGATTTAGAGGAAAGCAATGTTACAGTAAGTATGATAACAATGCAAAAGAATGGGTCGAGTACAGACATGCTAAAGATAGGGAAGCAAGTACAAGTAACTCGGATGACACCTTTGGTCAAATATCAGCGAGGAAACATCAACATGTTGACCGAAAACGTGAGAGAAGTCCTCACTCCTACAGTGTTGGAAGAGACAGAGCATTGCTCCACACGGAGAGGTCAATTTCTAGTTTGGAGGATAAGTGTGAACATCACCACAGAGACACTAGAAAACCCTACGAGAGAAGGGGGCATGGCAGTGATTCTAGTTGGGGACGCCATCATGTCCCAAAAGAGGAATCTAGTCGTGATTCGAGACATAATAATAGGCTCGATAATAAAGATCGCGGAAATGATTTGCACAATGGAAGGAGGACGAATGTTGATGGCTTGTATGAAGATTCTCGATCTGAATACCATCATCACAAAAGAAAGAGAGCCAATTAGGAGATTGTGATCATGGATTTGGGGCACAATGTAAACGGGGATGCACATACATCATTATAGGTGAAGAATCTGGTTAACTTTCATTTTACCAAGGTACTTTGTATAAAGTTGTTTTGGTGGTAGCTCTAGTTATAGTTTTGATCAATGTCCATATACTATGATATACCTATAAAACTATAGGTATGAATATATTCATAGGTACATATAAAAACCTATTCAAATACATAGGTATTCTAGTATCTAATATCAATCTCTGTTTGGCTTTGTTGATACAGATTCGTTAAAAAAAGAAGTCGGCTTTGGACAGTAACATTTTGACTAACCCCTGTTTACTTTTGCTTACTAATCCCATTCACTTCTTTAGTGTGGAATATGGATGCTAGCAAAGGTCTTAATCTGAACACATTCTGGTTAATCATTAGTTTGGATCATTTTATATGCTGCCCAACTATCTTCTGCAAAAAGGTAATGTAGCTGATTGAGGTATGTTCTCTTTTCAAAATTTTGCCCAACTATCTCCTGCCCGGCTTTTCAGGGCACTCGAAAGAGTTCTACTCAACATTTTGGGAGTTATCATTCTTTTGCAAATTTGTGATCCCTGAAAAAAATTGGCTTGACCACCTTGCTGTTTCTGGTTTCCCATCATTTTCTCTTTCATTGATATAAGTCATCTCAGGCTATTTTAGTCCATAAAAAGTTTCCTTGCTCCTCAAAACCCAGCATGTGTTTGTAAGCATGATAAAAACTAACTTTAACTATTGCTTATTATTTCGGTGAAAATGTAGCATTAATTAGTTGCCTAGGTTCCTCATTTTCATATTATATGACTAATTGCAAATTTCCTTTGATAAATGATCAATATTAATGTGCTCCTTCTATTCAGGGAAAAAAGGTATTTTAGTAGTACACTTGATTCATTTTGGACAAAGGTAGTAATGGTTTTGTCCACTTCATTATCAAGTGAGTGTCCCTGTGGGGGGTGGCGGATATTTTGTACATACATTTTTGTACTTTTTGATCATGCATTTATTTTTTTAAAAAAGGAATGGGGTTAGGTTTCTCTTCCTTGATTTAGGTCCACAAAGGAGTAGAAAAATTATCAATTTCTTTCAGATCTGTTTTGTCGAAGAGCACATTTTGTCCTACCTCATACATCCCATTTCTTGGTTAATATTTTCATTTTTCCCGTTCTTGAAGTATCTAAATTCTCATACTAGTACTAGGTTTAAGTACAATCTTGGTTCTAAGAATTTCTAACATACAATTCTTAGGTCCAAGAACACAAGAAGTTCAAAAAAGAGCAAATGGTTTTACATTTGTGTTTTTAGATTTGGGCCTAACGAGGGAGGACCATGAGTCCTTTTAGGCTTAAGCCAAATCAAGTCAAATGAGAGTTTTCTTCATTTATTCTTGTGGTTATTACAATGCCAAGAAGGCTTTGGGGTAAGAGGTTCGGTGGTGAAGGAAACAATTTAATGGGTATTTGTGACTTTTTACCCTTGCATTGGTTTTTGTTTAAAATAGAAAGTGGGACGGAGGGAGTAACAAAATACCCTTTCCGTCCCCAGAAATACCTTATTTTCTTTTTGGAATGTCTCAAAAAAAGTCGCTTCTTTCCTTTTTTTTATTGGAGAATTTTGAGTGGCTCACAATATTTTTCTCTCATGTGCATCACTTTCAACCGTGTATTTTCAATTTTTCTTAAACTTTGTGCCAAGTCAAACCAAAAGCCTTTTTTTGAGACATACGGAGTATGATTTAGACTAATTATTCTAGAAAAACATGCACTCGTTTTATAATTTGAAATTATTTAACCTTAATTTCAGATTTCATTGTTATTGACGATATCATCAATTTTAGCAAAAAAAGCTAAATAGTCTTATAATGTGATTAAAATAGTGCTCTTGACTGGTTGGGCCAATTTGAATGCATGGGGGGTTTATTTGAAAAGGAAATGATTGGAACTTTATTGAATGGGGCACAATGTTGAAATTGGGGGATCATTTTGTTGTGTTATCGTTATTTTGATGAGGAATACTCGTACTTGGTGTTTTCTTATCATTGAGAATCTAGACATTAGTCCATAGGAAGGTGTTTTGGCAATGCTTAGGGTCCAAAAAATGCATCTAGTGTATTAGAGTGATAAAGTTAGTATATGATGGAGCCAAGACTAGTGAGGTTGGTGTTATGTGGCTCAATTCCTCTTACGGTTGGGATAGAGATTGAGCCAGTTCAATCTTTTTCTAATTTTTATTGTAGTTGGTTGCATTAATGGTCAATGTCTTTCTATTTGTTGTGTTGATATATAAATTGTAGGATATCCTTGGAGATATACCTTGGTGGATGTACTTGCTAATGTTGGTTTTAAAGATTGCCTAAATAAATGAGCATCACATTAGAAGTTTGGAAGTAAAATTAGGTGTCTAATGATTAAGAATGAATGGAACTAGGAGAGGAAGAGATACTACCTTGAACATGTCATTTGAGATTGTGGAGAGAGTAGCAAACCAAGGCTAACAAGATTATTTAGATAGCACATATCATAGTGGTTGGATGGAATGAAAGTTGCGTGCTGAAGGAACATGTCACATAGATTGGAACTTAAGTTTTAGGCCACTTGTGCAGTATGTGATAGTGTTGGACTGCTAAGAGCCTCCACGTGCAAATGTTTGCAGGAGTGACCAAACAATGTGATGTTAGGTTCCATGCTGGATAAGATGTATGGTGTTGGATTGAAGTGTTTTGATAAAGAGTAAAAATTGAGCACTAATGTTAATGAGAGGAGGTCAAAAATATAGAATATGAGGGTGAGGGCATTTGAGAGGAGCCCTAATTAGACATGTACAATACTTTTGTAGCTCACCAGTCATATTTAGCACATGATCGTAGATTAGTCATTGGTAGTCAAAGATTAGAATTGCTTGTACTTTGTTAGATGTGATTGTTTTGTGGGTAGGGATTTCAACGGGTTGATTTTGGATCAAGTGAAACTTCACCTTCATTCATCCATTCACTTTGTATCCATTGATCATCCACAAATGAGTAGGGTGAAAAACATGTGTAACTAATAATATTTTTTTAAGTATTCATAATATTTCGTTAGACTTTTATAAAAGAAAAAACATAGTAATGATAACAAAACATCTATTTTATATAACAGTTGTGTGTATTAAGTTTTCATTAAATAAAATATTTAAAATACCTTTGTTTGCCATAGATCTTTTCATTTTATAATTTATCTCCGTCTCGTTCTTTTCTTTTTCTTTCTTCCTCAATTTCTTTTTCTTTTCTTCTTTTTTGTTCCTCTTTTTTCTCTCTACAATCTTTCTCTTGTTCTTTTCCTCCATTTCTTCATCTTCTCCTTTTTTTAGTTTCTTCCCACTTTTTCTTCTTATTCCTCTATTTTTTCCTTTATCTATGGGGAGTAGCAGAGATGGTTGGAATATTTTCCAACGGTAGTGGGCTTGGCGGGGCTCTTGACGGTGGTGGGGTTTGTGTTGGTAGTGGGGATGAGGGCGTTGGTGAGTCTAGCAGGAGTGGTGGGGGCTAGCAAAGATGGTGGGGCTGGTAGTGGGAAGGGCAAGGGAGGAGAGGGTAAATTAGAAATTCAAAGGCCTATTTTGTGAAGGGAGTAATATTTATCAAATACTCCTGTTTCATACACTTCTCTTTTCTTTTTTTCTTTCCCACAAAGTCCTTCCCATTTACATTAAAAAGTCTTTTTGATCTCTACTAATTCTTATCCTCTACCTATCACATAATATATCCACACTCCTCTCTCTCTTCAATTACACTTCCTCCCTCCCATCGTACTCATTCCCGAACACGTCACTGAGTTTAAAGCTCTAAACTCAATACTAAAACAATCACTCATCTCTTAATTCTTCATCTTCCTCGTGGAACCTAAAATTGAAACCAATAATCTTCATAGATGAGTTTTATGAGTTAGTCTCAGGAAGTTACAAAGAAAACGAACCTTCAAACTCATCTATGAAGGTTGTTGGTTTTTATTTTGAATTTTGAAAGAGAAGTAATGATTTTGATTTTGGGTTCAAAGATTCAAACTCAGCGACGAGTTTGGGAAGGGAGTGCGGGAGGAGAGAGGAAGCTTAATTGAGGAGAAAGAGGAGCGTGAATTTACAATTTATCTACATTTTTAACGGATATGTTTGTGGAAAATAATATATTTATTGGGGACTAAATCATTGATATTTAGACCTAGCAATTGGGTCAATCAATTCGGTTTTGGTTCAGGTCTTTTTAGTTCGGGACTCTTTCGGATATATGTTAATGTTATAATCGGCTCGGGACGGTTCGGTTCAGGTTAGTTCAGTTTTGGGTTTATTTCGGTTTGATTGGTTTTTGGTTCGGTTTCGGTTCTGGTTCGGGTTTGTATCGGTTCGGGTTTATATTGGATCAGGTTTATATCAGTTTGGGTTTGTATCGATTTGGGTTTGTATCAGTTCGGGTTTATATCAATTCGAGTTTGTATCAGTTTAGGTTTATATTATTTCATTTAAATATGTTTTTTTAGAAACACATCAACATATGTAAAAATATATCGGTAATTCTTTTTCTCCAAGTTCTTTTGATAAATGGAATATTAATAAATTTGATACATTTCAGGTCTAACCGGTTTCGGGTTTAATAGGTTCTGGGTTTAATCGATTTTGGGTTTAATAGGTTCGGGTTTAATCGGTTCGGGTTAAGTCGGGTTTGGATCTGAATTGGATTTGGATACATTTGGTTCGGTTTTGGTTCGGGTCGGATTTTTTTGGGTGTTCGGTTCTATTTCGGTTCTTCAATTTTGGGTCAATTCGGGTTCAGTTTTGGGTTATTTGGTTCAGGTTATCATGTCCGGGTTAGTTTTGCCAGGTCTATTGATATTTGATATGTAGGGACTAAATATGTAAAATGAACTATAATTGTGAAGCTTTTATGGAATTTACTCTGATTTTTATGGAGCATTAAATTACTTTTTTATTTGAAATGACAAATGCATAGGTTTTTTAAGCATGTTATTATTTTTTCTTTACAAATATAATTCGCGTGTTGCTCCCACAAACTCTCTTTGCTTTGGAGTGTTTGTCCAGCTTTTTGTCCACCTTTCTATCCTGCCCTTTTCACTATTGCCTTTCCAATGTTTTTATTTTTTAATGGCCTTTTTGCCCACCATCATGCTTTATACTAGTTAACAAGCTCTCTACTTTTGAGTAGAGATTATGAGTGCTTACACCCTCTCTCCTTAGACCTTATTTGTAGCATTATACTGGGTTATTTGTTTTGGCCATCATACCTTCGACTCTCTCTTTGCAATCAAAGCCATAGACACCAGGATAAGTTCAGGGAAATTTACTTTTACAGGATTATACTGGGTTGTTGTTGGCATTGTTTTTTTCCAATTATACCTTCAACTCCTTCGAGGTGTTATCACTTTTTGATCAAAGCCATAAACCTCGGGAGAAAATTAAAGAAATTTAAAAAGGGAATTGAGCATGCCAGAGAGAGAACATAGCTTGTTCGAGCTTGCCCACATACAGTGGAATAAGACAAAATTTTATCAGAATAACAAAAAACAACTCGGTTGAATACCACAAGAGTAGGGTTTGGGGAGGGTGTGTGTACGCATACCATATCCCCACTTGAAAGTAGAGGTTGTTTCCAAAAAAATTCCTGGCTCAGCATTGAAAGTTGCATTGATTGACCATTAGCTACTTCATTCATTAAATAAGTGTAGAACTACAGACAGTCTAGAGATCTGTTTTGCTTTTTCCATCGAAACCCAATCAAAAAAGGAGTGAATTTTTGGCTTCATTCTCAAAACAAGAACATAGAAATTATTCTTGTTGAGAAGTGAAATTGCAGAGCGACAACGGGAAAGAAACAGAGCCAATCTCACCCTTAAATTAGAGCCCAAGACACGATCTTTTGGGATGGATCCAAATTGGATATTCTTCATCATTGTTAGCCATTTAGATGTGCAAAGATTCTTTGAGATGGTTTCGGTAAGCTTGTTCAAAAAACATTTCTAGTTCGTAATGCCTCGTGATTCTAACTTAGTTTCTCCAGAACGAATTTTGTCAAGTTCATTCATTGCCTCATCATTTTCAAATATCCATAAGGTTTTAAATAAAATCAGAAAGGATTTGGCCATAACTAGAGAAACCAACACGATGGTATGGTATCTAGCTACCGTCAGCCAGGATGCAAGTACTATTACTGGAGTTCCACTCCTGTAATAGTTTCGTTAAGATAGCTATTGCTGAGAGTTTTTGTCTAAAAAGGTACCTCTGCTAGTGTCTCAAGGTACCCTCCTATTGTGACCTTGGACCCATACCATTAGATTGTACTTTAGCCATAATTTCAATAGTAAGAATTTTTAAATTTGCTAATTTCTATTTAAATCACGTAAGTTACCTTAAATCAGGTTCCAATAGTCATCAACATTAACTTATCATATTCAACTATAAATATGACCTCAATCTTTTATTTTAATCATCAACCCTAGCTTCTAATCACTTATTTTTATATTCTAGGAGTGTTTTTGATTTTGTTCTCTAATCTTCATTTTTTACCTGTTAGAGCTTTTTTTTCTTTATTTTCTATACACATAGAGCTTGTAATTATAGACATATACTCTCATGTTTATCATTGACCTTGTATAGTTTTTGAGAGTATTTTGTTTTTTACTGGCCAAGGATTAATCCTTTTCACTTTATCATAGGCCAAGGTGTAAATGTGTTTTCCGTGTTTTCATAGACATTTCACGAGTTGTAATGGTCTAGGACTGTCGTATAAATTCTTGTGTAAGTGGTAGAGATAGCAGAGAAATTCTTGGGTAAAAGTTCAAGGTTAGCCTTCAAACTCTTGGGTTAAAGATTGAAGATATCCTGAAAAGCTTTGTTGTAAACAGTTCGAGATAGGTAAAATCTTGGGTTGAGTTCTACCGGCGATGGTTGTTTGCCAAACTAGTGTCGTAGAGGTTGACACTCAGTGGATTCTGAAATTCTTTATGAGGAGCTTTTCGATACTAGAGTAGAGATTTCCAAACAAATATAAAGTGGTGTGTACTTTATGTCTTTAATCTTTGTGTTATTTTCATTGCTTCTGCGTTTGACAAAAAACAATTTTACAAAACTCCAAAAGATTTTTTTAAAATATTTCACCCCTTCTAAGCCATGTGTAAATCAACTAACATATTTCCTTTAAGCAGGAGCTTCTTGTGTTCAAGGATCCACTGATTAGGGTTATATACGACTTTAAGGGAAGATGGTACCATAGTGTTGAGATGATTTTCAATTTTCAATAATGACATGGTTTGAGAATTTTCGTTTTTCTCGGGCCTTCCCCTCTCATTCCAAAAAAATAAAGATACCAAGATAATCAAATAATTACTTCATTCGGTCTTCCCGTTGCTTGTTATGCTTGACAAAAGTAATTTTCAAATTATTTTATATATAAAATAATAGAATTTAAATATAAAAATGACATTTAAAAATTACATAAAAACATCTACAAAATAAATATGATATGACTATATTCTTTTGTAAAATAAGCAAAGTAAATAGAGTTTGGCCCTATGAACGTTGAATGCGAAGATGAGTTTTGGACAGAGGGAGTGCATTATTTAAATTAGAGTAAAATTTTAAAATAGTCATTTCTAATAAGGTGTTATCTCAAACTAGTCTTCAATAAGAAATAATTACCAATGTGGTCATTTGTAATTATAGTTATCTGCCAACACATAATAAGGAGTATCTGTCAACGAAAGAGAAGGCATTTTGATATTTTTATCATCTAGTCTTTATGCATATTCTTGAAATTCTCTTTATAATTAAGTATTTTTCTATACTGACAACTTCCAAGTAAATGTTTTCCCAAAATGGAGATCATAAGTCTACCCGGGGTGGGTCAGCTACTCTAGCAGCTACCTGTTTTATTTGTAAGGATCATTTTGAAGATTTTTTCATACTTTAGATGATAAAAAATACTAAAATAACCTACTTTAACCTGTTGTTTAATAAGCATTTTTGACAGAGAATTGTGTAAAAATATATCTCAATTACAGAGGACCATGTTGATACTTTTTACTTATTGAGACCTAATTTAGAAAATTATCTTATTGAAAAAGGTCATTTTGAGTATTTACTTTTTGAATTAAGTAATACTATCTTCGCCCCTAAATAAGGTTTTAGTTTCGAATTATAATGTCTTATTGAAGTTATTTTAAATTTAATTTATATTAATATTAGTGCAGGATTTAAAAATAATATTTGTATATTTAAAAATTTTATCAAATGGTGACAAGATTATTTTTTTTAATCAAATGATTAATCAATGAAAATATTTAAATAGAGGATATTTCGTTTGGCTTTAAGAGTAGTAAATGAGAACATTATTTAGTTATGGAGGAAAGAGTAGTCATAATAATAAATATAATAGTAATAATAATATTAGAAATTAGATTAATTAGTAAAATGCATGTTAACAACCTTTAAATAGATATTTTAAATAATTAGAAAATGTTAGAAGAAACTAGAAATAGTGAAAGGAACAAACAAAAAGACATTGGAAAAATTTGAAGTTGAATGAAATTCAACAAGGTTAGAGAATGTTTCTTTTTCTGTCATAAATTTATCTTTATTATTTACGTGGTCAAATTTTATTTATTTATACTTATTTGCGTTACTCATTTGATAAAATAATATAACCATGTTACCTCTTGTTTCGTGGAGCTTTTGATGTAGTTGTTTAATATCGTAAACTGAAATAGACGATTTAAAATTGGGACGTAGAGTAAAATTTAAGAATTTTAATCTAAAAGTACATAACCTTAATAGCTAGATAGCAAATCTATAATTCTTCTTATGGCATTACCTAATCTTTGTCTAGAATCTTGTTCTTGTGTGTTAAGTTGTGCTATTTTTCATGGAAGAAATCATCACCAGCATGCAGGCGCGAAATGTCAAAGGGAAAAAGTTCTTCATTCATATCAAAAGGCAATGCCATGGACCAGGGTAAACAGGGTTTGCTTTTTTTTCTTTTATAGAGTAAATGAGTGCATTTAATGCAGTCATTTATAAGAATCTTTTTTTAAAAAAAAATTGGGAATGAAAATGTTTGTAAAGAATTTTGAAAGTATCTTCTTTTTTGTGTGTGAATATGAATGGTATATAGTGCAAGAACATTTATTTGTACCCTCATGCATAACTAAACCTTTTCATGAACAAATTAAGGTCAATACACCTATATAATTTCCTTAATAGAGGTTAGTTCTAGATTTTAATAATTAGTATTGAGGTGGTGGAAGTGGGTGAAATACATTACTAATCCGTTTGGTAAAACGGAATTGACGGAATTGGAATTGAATTGAAAGTAGAAATTTAATGGAATTGATTTGGATGGAATTGAATTCTTTCATCCCAATTACTTTTTGGCACAATTAATTCCTAATCTGCATATTTTTTGTGCTATCAAACACCAGAATTGAAATTGTTATTTCTAATTCTAATTCTATAATTTAAATTTTGTACACCAAATGGAGCCTCAGTGTATTTTCAAAAAAAAATAAAAAATAAAAGAGATGAACCTTGTCCTCGAGTACTACTCAGTACTCGTCGGATGATCACCTAAGAAAAGGTTATTTGAGTTTTAATAACAGATTTATGGCAAATGATGGAACTTGCATCTGATTCTTGAAAAACTTTTTGTTTAGCATATTTACTTCCTAAAGTAGTTGTGCTAGGAATAAAAAATGGGTCACCCCAGCACTCATTGTCTTGTTAATTGCGCGATGCTCACGGTGTATTTTTAAAACATTGACATTACTTAGAAAGATAAAAATTCATCAAACTCCACACTACATTTCACACAAGGACAAAGTAAATGGGACTAAAGCCAACATTTTTCAAACTCATTCTCTCACTCTTAGAACGAATTGTGCAAAGCATTTATCTTTATACTTAGCTACATAGTGTTAGTTCCATGTAGTGTAGAGTTGTTGTTAGCATTATTTTTTGGCAAACGAATCGTGTTATTTAGAATTATTTTTCGCTATTTTAGAATGTGTTGTAGCATCTTGTCCGTCACCTTGTGAATGCCTACAATTTTCCGAGAGTTCACTTGATGTATATTTTATGATGTGTAGAGTTTTCCAGAAAAAAGGTCTTGCACTTGTTTTGAAGATTTCATGCTTATGGAAAGCTTCAATATTCTATGCAAGAGTCCCAATGTCTTCGAAGGTGTTTCAAAAGTGCAATTTGCTATTCTTGAGGTGGAAGCCAAACGACTCCTAATTAAATTCTACTATGGTATTGCTTATCTCTATGCTGAAATAATATGGAGTGCTGTTGATCAGCTGATCATGGAAAAAGCTTTATGGAGTATTTGTAATTGAAAACCTTCTAGTGGGCCCAGCAATAAGAAATTTATAGGGAGAATCTTCTGCAGCAATCTTTTTGATTGATATGTTTGCATAGATTGTTTTTGTTGGGGATTTTTGTTGAGTTTTGAGATTTGGAAATGTAAATGAGAGAATACAAGAACTTTAGTTATTAATGAGAAATGGTTTGTTTTGTGAAAATGAAATGTCTTTAGAGACAAGCTAAGCTAATCTTGCTTTAGGCTCATTCCATCCCATATTAAGAGCATGTTCTTTAGGACTGAAAAAAAAGAGTTAGATGTTGGAAGAAACTGAAAAAAACTAGAAGAAACTAGAAGGAACTAGAAGAAACTGGAATAATTAGAAGGAACTCGAAAAAACTGGAAAAACTAGAAGAAATTGGAAAAACTTCAAAAAATTGAAACACCTAAAAAAACTTTAAAAAAATTTATTATTATTATTATTATTATTATTATTATTATACTCCGTATTTATTATCTTTATTATTATCATCATCATCATCATCACGATATTTTAATGAATAATTATAATATAAAGTTAGCATAAATATAAAAAATTAAATTTTAAAAATTTTTTGTGGTTATGTTGCACCTCAATTTATTTATGTAGTATTTATTATAAATAATATATTTATAATTATACTTTATATATTACAAGATTTTGTTTTAAATATCAAACATGTCACATAATGTAATCAAACCTATTTTTTTTAATGATTGACATTTTATTTTCATTGAACTTCTACTTTTAGAATAAAGACATAGAAATGTTTTTTACTTTTTTTTATATTTTACTCCTATTTTAGTCTTTTTCTCTAAACTATTTTGACTTAATTTTTTTTTTATAAAAATAAGAAAATTTTAAGTAATAAAGGGAAAGGTGAGAGATCTTACATAAAATTAGATTAATAAAACATTCTATGTTATTGTTTTATCCATAATTTTTTAATATACTTTAACATGTTGATGTTTTCGTATTTCATCATGTAGATTAATATACAAAAAATTATCTTATTCATATTAAAAAATTGAAGAAAAAATAATGAGTGCAAATCGTAAAAATAGTGAGATAAAAAGATTAATTTATAAACTATAGTTATGAACATAATAGTTGTAATAATAATAATAATCGCATTGAAAATATATAGTTTTTAGAGTAATTGGTAGGAAAGTAGAAAGAGTTTGAAGAAAATCACAATAGTTGGTAGAAACTGGAAGAACTGAAAGAACTAGAAGAAACTGGAAGAAACTAGAAAGAATTGAAAAAAACTGAAAGTTAATAGATCAAGCCTTAAAGAACAGGTTCTAACTTCTAGATGTGTATCATGTCTTTCTTAAGACTATCCACAATGCAAATAGAGATTTAGGGATTCTTTTTTTTTTTTTTTAATATTTGTTATATCATTTTAAACTCCATCTCTATGGCGCAATGGGGAAAGAAAAAAAAGATTTAAAAAGATGGAAAAAAACTAAAAATGCTTTCACTTTTCTTATGTGTCCGTCTATAAATTATCTTTCCATTTTTTTGGCAAATACTACCTCCGTCCCATAAAACATGGGATGCTTTGTTTTTTGAAGAGATTTAAGGGAGTATATTTTGGTATTGAATTTCCAAAAATGTCCTTTGATGTGATGGGTAAAAGTAGGATTTGATAGATAAATTATTAGTAAAAAGGTATGATTTGATAGGTAGGGTATGAAAAGGTAAGGGATAAAAGTGACTTTTTAATAGAAATAAGAAGTGTTTTTTGGGACGGATGAAAAAAGAAAGGAGAAAGGTTTTCAGGGAGGGAGGGAGTACTTTTTATACGACATTACTACCCCGCATGCTAGGATGAGAAACCATGCTTGATTGGGCAATAATATGAGTAAAAAAATTGACGTGTAAGATTTTGGTTACGATATCAATTAGTTGAATTGAAGTGAGTAGTGAAGTAAATTTAGTAAACTTTTCAAAATGTTTTGGCGTATGGCATGAAAGTCAATATCAAATTGCTTAGTGTATTCGTGTTATATTACTTTTATTAAATAAAAATTATAATGTGTACTAGTATAAAAATGATTTTCTTTAAATATATCTTTTTCAAAATGTCTTTTTTTAAAAAAAAAAATTAATATCCAATACAAGTTGAGAGTAAATAATAGTAAAAATTTATCTTTAGTTTAAAAAGTAAAAGTAGAGGAATATATCGGTGACACCATTGGTGTCCATTAGCGGGTACCGGGGGATGCATAACCTCTGAGGGATCTAAAATGAAACGCGAGAATTATTACATTCATGTTTAAGATCTTGTGTAAACACTATTTTCTAACCAACAAGAAGTCGTTGTAGTATAGTGGTAAGTATTCCCGCCTGTCACGCGGGTGACCCGGGTTCGATCCCCTGCAACGGCGTTTTTCCTAACGATTTTATTTTTGATGTTTAATCACATGAAACGACATCGTTTAACAAATTTGTCCCATTCTATCTTCGATTCTTCCACCGCCGCCGCTCAAAACTTCATTCTTTTTTTTTTTTGTGTTTTGGTAATTATAATCTTATTTGTTGATTCTGCCTGCATTTTTTATTTGATTGGGAATTGAATTATTTATTCAGTCCCAAAAGTAGCTCTGCCACTCCGCGAAGTGTCGGCGGCAGCTCTAGCCGTCGGGGGACGGAGGGAAATGGCGGGATCGGCTAGAGGCTCCGGGAATGTTCCTGCGAACTTCTTTGTCCGATCTAGCGGCGGCGGAGTCAGGAGAGCGGCAGAGAAGGATGAGCAGTACACTCTAGTGTTATAATAAAGGGTTAATTATATCTAAATATAGAAATAATAAAAGATTTCTTGCTCGTGAATGTGAAATTGAGTTTACTAAACAAAAAAAAAGGTTGAAAGCCCTCAGACCGGGTCATACGATCACTGAAAGAAGATCAATTAGACTTTAGTCGTAGATTGGTGGCAAAGAATGGAGCTTGCACCTAGTACTTGCAGAGGCACTACGCTTGGTATAGTTGTCTCCCAGCGCAGTTGTCAGGAATCGAATTCGGACCTTACTCCCTTGACACGCCTTGCCTTGCCAACTGCGCAACACCCACCGGTGAGTTTACCAAACAAAGTTCTACAAATAGTGGGATCAGGCGATCAACCCATGAAGGAGACCCATCAAAGGTGTATTCTCCCGTTCTAGTGTATTCGTTTAGTTTGATTTTTTATTACGAATAATAGATGTATTACAAAATATATTATTATTATTATTTATTACTTTCCCAATTTTCTTATTTTCTTATTATATTGTTATTATAATTATTCTATTATTTAGATTAGAATTCTCTCTTATAATCCTTATATGTAAGGGTATATCCTTTATTATTTAATAAAATCAATTACTATCAAATTGTGTCATGGTATCAGAGATAACGTTTTCAAAAACCTAGCCCTTCCTTCTATGGCCAAGCACATTGTCGTTCTCTGCTCATGTCAGTCGACCGTCTCACACCATGGTGTTTCCGACCGACTTTGACGAGCGTGCCTAACAGCCTCTGTCCATCATCTCTTTCTTTCTCTCCAAAACAATCATGATCTCTCTCTTTAAAGAAAATAATGTGTGTGATCGAAGAACAAGAAAATTATTTTTTCCAGTGTTTTTTTCTAGATATCGAGAGAATGTAAACAATAAAGAAGTAAAGAATGATTCAAAAGGAGGGAAAAAGAAACTTATCTCTCTCGCTCCAATCGTCAACACCCTCACCAAAAAAAAAAATAACTTACCCTAAAAATTTATGCGCAATTTTTTATGGAAGAGCATAATGCCATCACAAGTGTACCATTACACAAGGTCAAGAAAGTAGTGGGTTATGCGCAAATCTTTGATATTGAAAATAACATAAAAACTAATATTAATTCCGTGTTCCGCACGTTATACATTCTAAATTTTTAACATTCTAATTTTTATTATAGTTAGTTATTCGATAAAATAATATAGGTATGTCATTTATAATTTTGTAGAATTTTTGATGTAATTTTAAATATAAAAGTTTTATTTTAAAATTTTACACTTAACCAAATAAATTGAATTTAAAATAACTTCGTTCAAATCTCGTATTTTGAGAAGTTAGTTTTAGGATAGAGGGTATATAATAAAATAAATCTAAAGTTTTGAAATATAGATTATATATTTGAAAAAATGCTTTTGTAATAGAGTCAATGACACTAAAAAAAAGATGCATATGTGATCAATTAATGAAATTGTTTTTCAGAAGTAATAAAAATATAAATTTTGGATAGTTTAAAAACTATATATACTATGTTGATTTTTTTATTTAATATTTTTTTTTATTTTTTTAAATAATGATATTAGGATGCGTATATTTAAGTATAGAAAAAGTTTTTTTTTGTAAAATGGTTAGAAAGTGAAGGGCTTGTAACAATAATGGTTATTTAATGTTAGAAAGTGAAAGGTTTTATAAAAATTAAATAATGTTAACAGTTTTTGTAAATGGTGAATACTTTTGAATTAAAATATATTCGGAGCGAATGGAGAATATTTTATGGGCCCTCAGCTAAATAAAAAAATTGAGTCTTTATTTAGATGAAAATTTTCATTCAGATAAGTTCTTATTGAATAACACAAATTTAGAATTAGCTAAATTATTTTTTATAAAGAGCAAATACACTTGATTAAAACATTGGATATGTAGCCGTGCAGAGAAGAATACAATGAATACTTATTTAATTAAAATATATAAAATACTGGAATAGATTGCGGATGAGTAGTCATACGCGTATGAATAAAACAACGAATGAAGTTATGAGAGCTAAAATAAAAAATGCATTGGCTTTCCATATTTGTCTTTGAAACATTGCAAAAAGTTAAATAAAGTATATGTGTAGATAATAATTAATAGGTAACGGTGAGGGGTGGTGATGTGGTTAACACTTTAAAGAAAAAGCATTTGCTCAAGAAAGAAAATGGAAAAATAATTTATGGACGGACAAATAAAGAAAGTGGGAAGATAAATTATGGAAGGAGGGAGCATTATTTTGATTCTTTGCTGCCCTTTTAAATATAAATCTATTGAAACCCAAAAGGGGCAAAACAAGCAGTCGTTGTAGTATAGTGGTAAGTATTCCCGCCTGTCACGCGGGTGACCCGGGTTCGATCCCCGGCAACGGCGTTCCTTTTTTAACGCATTTCGTTTTTTGATGTATTTTGATGTTTCGTCGCCTGCAACGACATCGTTTAGCATATTTTTCCCATGTCTGCGGTTCTACAGTCTCTCTTCTTCGTTTTCTTCTCCTGCACTTCCTTCCAAATTCCAATCTTTATTTTTTTGGTAACTGAATCTTTCTTCGTTGATCGGATTACTTATTTTAAACCCAACAGGGGGGATTACTTATTTTAAACCCAACAGTATCTTTGCCACTCCAACGTCGCCGGAAGCTCTAGCCGTCAGAGGACGTAGAGAAATGGCGGAATTGCCGAGAAACCCGGGAAGTGCTACTGCGAACAGTGAGACTGTCCGATCTAGCGGCGGCGGCGGCGGAGTCAGGAGCTTTCCGATGGCTCAGCAACCGGAGATTATGAGAGCGGCGGAGAAAGATGACCAGTACACTCTCTTAGTATATGAATCCTGCCGCGATGCTTTTCGCCACCTCTTCGGTCCGTTTTGTTCTTTCTTCTTCCACACCTTTTTTATTTATTTTTATTTATCAAAGAATTCGAATTTATTTGCTGCCTTTGATCTTCAGGTACAAGGGTTGCTGTATCTTATCAGAATGAGGTAAACATTCACTCCCTGCAGTAGTTATGCTTGGCACTAATAAGACTTTCAATGTTTTTATCTCAAAATAGGAATTATAATACCAAATAATATCAATACATAATGTCAACAAACATTTCAAAATGTCATTACACAATTCCAAATTATAGAGTTTACCGTACTAACACTCGCTTTGTTGTTGTTGTTGTTGTATAGTGCCAACACTCCTGTGTTGGAGATAAAAACCTAAGAAGTCTTATTTTAGTTTAAGTTTTTTTAGTATGTTTTAATCTTAATTCGGTAGATTCACCAGGATTTGATTGGATGTTTGAGGCTGTGTGGGAAGTGTTTGAGAGTAGTCGTTGGAAGATGTGACTTTGATGCAAGACAATGTGGTTTCTTAAATTTTTAAAGTTGATTTTTACAATATCAATTTTTCAATAAGACATGAATATAGAAAGCATTACAGCCTGTCACCGATATTATTTTCCATGTTAGTGAAAAACTTATGGTGATGAGTATTCACGGTTACGAAGTTTCATCTCATTATTCTTACACGGTATTTAGTTTCTTGTGACAGGATGAGCATCTGGTCTAAATGTTCACATTATGTTTCTTTGTTTTCAATACTTGGATTTATAGTGTTAACTAGTTATGAAGGATTGATTGACATTTTAACTTTCACGTCATAGGGCCCAACTTAGTTGGGGTTAAGGTGATAATGATGACGGGTTTTAAGAATCTTATCGGAGTTGCATCTGTGTATATCATGATGCTACGGCCACTGAATTCTATGTAGCGTTTAACTTCCATGGGGTTTTCATTCTCTGCAGACAAAACTTCTTGGGCAAATGCTTTACTTTTTACTCACGACAGGTGCTGGGAAGCAAACATTAGGAGAAGAATACTGTGACATCACACAGGTGTGGATCATATGAAACCTGAAACAAACATTTGTTTACTTTGTATCATGGTTTGATCTATTAGTGCATGACCTATACCTAGACTGATATAATCCATCAATAATTTGTATTTTTTTTACTAAGGGGCATTCAGTTGAGGCAAGTAAATGTCATACTGTTGCCTGTTGCAGTTATTTGTTGCTATCAAATAAATTTTCTTGTTAATGATCCTAGCCTTCTCTTGCACTTTTTGTTGCTGCTACCTATTATTGGAGTGTTATTTGGTCAAAAGCGTGATCAAACTTTTATACCACTTTGCGTAAGTGTAGTTGAGATCCAATTCGTATGAAAAAGTTGTCTCTGTTGTTGTTTGGCTGTTGCATTTCGAGGAGAGTATTTCAATGTGAGAAATTCAAAGAAAATTAATAGTGCTTTTTGTTTTCTTCTTCATCTTTTCACAACAGTGAAGTTGTGAGTTGCAACTCTAGAAAGTGATTTGTACAATAGTTGAATTACTTTGGGATGGATTTGTCATAGATTTAACTTGTACTTGATCACGGAAGATAATCTTTCAAGGCATTGCTTTTTGAAGGACTCAATAGCCCCCTTCTCTATTTCTTGCATGCTACCCTACAACCAGCATTCTCAGTTCACAAGAACCTATTTCCCCTACACAGAGTACATATACTATTCAAATACGAATGAATCAATGACACACCAAGATTGACTTTTCAGGTTGCAGGACCGTTTGGTGTTCCTCCAACTCCTGCAAGACGTGCTCTTTTTATCTTTTATCAGACAGCTGTTCCATACCTTGCCGAAAGATTCAGGTATAATATCTCGTGACTGTTAGTGAAGTTATGATTTATCACTCCTTTTTCTCAGTGGAAAGTTTTTCATGGTCAACAAAAATAAGAATTTTCTGTTTGTAGCTCTAGACTTGCTTCTGAAGGCATCACCCTGGATGATCCGTTTGATGATGATTATTCGTTTGGTGGTGCTTCTGCCTCAAGCGGGCGAGTTGAAGCATCCACGACTAGTGAAACCACATCTTTCTCATCAAGAGAATCACTGTCATTTTTTTCAAGATTGAAAGCAAAGTTAAGGCGATGTTGGCTGCATGCAGTTCAGAGGTGGCCCTCAGTATGCTCCCTTCCATATAAAAACTTTGTTACGTGTATAAAGCATTGGTTTATTAAACTGATAGTATGTTTTCTTTTGGTAAGCTGTAAAGTTCTGATGTGCTTTCTGAATCCTAAATTTATAGATTTCTCGTGAATTTCTTGTGTTTTGTTCAGGTGTTTCCTCTAGCTCGTGAGATCTTGCAATTGATTATACGTGCTAATCTAATGTTCTTCTATTTTGAAGGTGTTTATTTGGGATGAAACTCGTAAATAATAAACCGTTGTAGTTTTTAATACCCTAGTATCTTCTGGAAAAAGATAAATTTCCATTTATCTTGTTGATTGTCATTGTGGCAGGACTTTATTATCACTCATCAAAACGTGCGTCTGGCATTCGTTATGTGTTCATCGGAAAACAAGCGAACCAAAGGCCCAGGTATAAACTCTTGGGCAATTTTGTAATTTTCCTCCCTCTTTTTTTCTTCTGTTCTTCACATATCATATATTTATGTGGTGCAGATATCAAATATTGGGGGTTTTCCTTCTTATTCAGCTTTGTGTCCTTGCCGCTGAGAGACTGCGGCGCAGTAGTTTATCATCACTTTCAGCCTCAGTTCAACAAACACCTCTGGGAACCTATCAATATTCACCAGGTCAAACACTGTATTTGATAATGATAAACATCTCCATTCCTACTTCTTGGCTTCCCTATGCCATGCTTTGAACTTTTGTTTTGGAGGGTTTCTGTAGGGACCAGAAGAAAGGGTTATCTTTCTTTTTTTTTGGAAGCTTTACTTTTACTTGACAATTTTTAAAATTAAAATATATAAAATGAATTATCAAGTAATTCCACATGAATTAAAAAAAAAAAAACTTTCATAGAGGCTGATTTCGTAGAGGGTCTTGGATTGGATGGTTTTCTAGGCTTGGTATACATATCTTGATATACATTTGAGATTTTGTTTCAAAAAACGAAGCAATAACTCAATAGGTGATCATATAACATTCCACTCACCCTTTATTTTTCTATATAGGAAACGGTGTGCCCATTTTGGACGAAGAAGGCAATTTAATTACCGGAGGCTCCGAAAAGGGTAGTTATGTAATTCAGTCCTCATCAACTTCAGAGGTATATTTTGTTATATTATCAGTTCAGACCTTTCTTGTAATGGTGTTAACTGTTACCATAGCCTATAATTTTTTTCTTTTTATATGATGCAATTGCTAACTTCACTTTATTTTTTCTTCCTTTGTCTTTCAAAAGAAACAGTCTCAAACAAGTGGACAGAGCAAATGCACGCTTTGCCTGAGCAATCGCCAACATCCCACCGCCACCCCTTGTGGCCACGTATTTTGCTGGTATTCTGTAATGATACTTTCTAATGTTTCTTTATAGGGTCATCTCGCCAATGTGTTGAACTAAAACAAACACAAACAAAAAACAAATCCCGTAAAATCCCACAAAAAAGTAGGGTCTGGGCATCGTGTGTAAACGCAGTCCTTACCCCTACTTGGAAGTAGAAAGCCTGTTTCTCGGCTCAAACATAGAACTCCCAACAAAGTCAACACATTAGCATGAACAAAGTAAGAGCGTAGATACAAAATGGAATGATTTGATTTTAATTACTACTCCGTAAAACCGTATTTGATATGAACTGTGAAGGAAACAAGTTTTAAAAAGACAAGATCCATATTCCATAGTGACAAAATCCCCCCCGTAACCCGAGAAGAAGTATCATATTCTCTTTGACCCACATTGTAGGAACTGCATAATGGAATGGTGCAATGAAAAGCCAGAATGTCCTCTTTGCCGTTCTCCCGCCACTCATTCCAGCTTAGTCTGTTTGTACCATTCTGATTTCTGATTCTACGCCGAGGACATCTTCCCAAAACATCTCCTTTCCATATCACATTTGGAAGAGAGTAAGCACAGGTTCTAATGATTTTTTTCTTTATTGTCAATCAACTGCATACAATTTATATATATTTATGTATTAAATGCAAAAAACTTATTTTAAAGGAAATTTGGTGTATACCTGAGGCTCCGTTTGGTACATGGAATTTAACCTATAGAATTAGAATTGGGGACAACGATTCCAATATGATGTTTGGTAGCACAAAAACATGTCGATTTGGAATTGGTAGTGCCAAAAATGAATTGGAATTGGAGAATTCAATTCCATCGAAATCAATTCCATAGAATTTCAACTCTCAATTCAATTCGAATTCCGTCAATTCCGTGTACAAAACCGACCCTGAATATTACCTCTGCACCTCATTGTATTTATTTTCAATTGTTATAGAAATATGTGATGCAAGTTACAATTTTTTGTTTAGACTTTGCATTCTATATTGTTCTTAATATTTGGCTATACTTCTTAGAGACCTTACTTAGCCTTCTTAGAGACCTTACTTAAGAAATTAGAACCTTGGAGCAAATCGCCCACACCAAGAAGAAAAGAAGAAACATAACCCAAAAAAAAAAATCGACCCTACTATATTAGTATGAGATTTTTTGGGAGGTATTTTAAACTAAAGGATGATGTTCATTGTCTTTATATTTACAAGTATTGGGCTATTGAAATAATGGCTCAGTTTCTAATGCCTTCCCCGCAATTGACGTGGGCGGAGGATGGGTTGGGGTTGGAATGGGGTGCGGTGGTTTATTAGGAGGTTTGAGGTTATAAGAACTATCAATTTTACGAATAGAGCACCGTAAATACCGTAATTAGACAGCGTCCGAGTGACCATAGAACCTGTCCGTGTTACTTTATGGGATAAAGTCTGGCGCCATTAAAGGCTAAACATAAAACTTCTGCAAATACGTGCATGCTAATCCTTTTTTATATAAGCAAAAACATGTTACATCAAGGGTGATACCCTAACAATTTTAAATTCACAAATTTTGTATTTGAAGCTATACATTATGCTATTTTCTTTTCCCCTCCACTCACACAAAATTTATCAGTGCGATATGAATGAAATATTTTTGTGGACATCCCACCAATAAATTATGTCTGTATAAAAAAAGAATGTCTATTACGTGAGTAGAAAATGACGAGATGTAACAAACAATAGAAAATGTTTTTTTTTTCATGGGGCATAATAATTTTCTTTTTTAAAATATAATTTTCTAAGAAAATATTATGGAGTGAGATCTTTCATCACTAGTGTCACTAATCGAATCCAAAAACAGTTTTTCAAGCAAGTGGGGATGGCATGCTGGTAATGGGCAAGCAGGATTCTTGCTAGCCTTGTTGGGCAATCAAGTTGAGGGCATGTTTTTGTGGAGTTATAAAAAAATAAAAAATAAAAAATAAAAAAAGATATAGTTTAGTGTGACATAACTTGTGATATTACTCTCTTACATATTTACAAAAAAAATATAGTTAAGCTTCCCAGCATCCTCCGTTGTCGACCACTCCGTCGGTCTATAATTGAAATATTGAGAAAAAGGAACAAGGCATTGTCTGAGTCACAGAGAAAAACAAAGAATATTAAGGATCTTCAATTAAACTGGCACCTCTTATAGCCTTCTCTTTTTCTTCGACGTCAGCAGGCAGTAGCTACCCGCGCACATCAGACTTCTCTCTTCTTCAACGACGTCAACAGCCACCGGGACACGTCAGACTTCTCTCTTCTCAAGTCAGTTTATTATCACGTGTCTACCAAACTTTCTCTTGCTTTAGCTAGACTTCAGCTCGAGGGAAGATGTTAGAAAATAACAACAACAACAACAACAACAATAACAACAACAACAACAACAATAATAATAATGTAAGTTATGGTAGTGTTTATTATAAGTCAGCTTCATATTCCTATTTATGGTAGATGTTGTATTTTAGTTAGTTTTCATTCTCTATTTCTAGTTGTATTAGAAGTCTCTCATATATATACTTTATCATATACTCCATAATTCAATAAGTAATATTTTTATTCCAATATTTCAACAAATATGATTTCAAATTTTTCTAAATAACTTTATTTCAAATTTTAGTATCCATGTTATTTTCCCAAGATTTTAAAATTAATATCATACCTGGGACCTTTAAAAGGTTTAAATAAAAAAGTGCAAAAGATACTCCCTCCGTTCCTAAATAAAGTTCCATTTTTGACTTTTTGAGGATTTAAGGGAGGGATATTTTGGTGTTGACTTTCCAAAAATACCCTTGATGTGATGTGTTAAAATAAGATGTGATAGGTAGATTATTAGTAAAAAGATATGATGTGATAGGTAGGGTATGAAAAAGTAAGGGGTAAAAGGGGTTTTTTAAGAGAAAAAAGAAGTTTATTTAGGGACAAAGAAAAAACGAAAGAGGAACTTTATTTAGGGACGGAGGAAGTATATCTTTAAAGTGGATATTTATCCCCGTTTCCTATAAAACTTAAAAATTTGTCTAATAAAAACCAAAATGTAAAATTTTTATCAATATATATATGATTATCACGTGTTTACTATTCTTTTAGAGCATGGGTATTGACAAGTAAAAAAATGGCACATGGTGATATAGATTATTTCAATCAATCAAAATCAATCTAGTTAACGTGTGACAAATGAGTAAAGTGACATTTCTTCCAATGGAAAATCATTATTTTTATCAATTTCTACACTTTCTAAAATATATTTTAAATAATAAAAATTGTTTTACTTATCTTATTAAACAAAACTAGATGGACTCCTTTTTAAAAAATCTTATTTTTTAACAAAAAAAATAAAATAAAAAAGGAAATTCTCGCTACTGTCATGCCAAACATGGCAAAACAGTTTAGCCACGCGAGGCAAAAGCATACTTGGGATGACGTGACAAGGCGTGACAAGCAGTTACCCTGCAACTGCCGCTGCTCTAAATAAGAGTGTTGACAGTGCTCAGTGTAACATTCGCAAGTCGGCATAGTGCATTGATATTTCAAAATATTTTTAAGTATTAGATTTTAATATTAAAGTTCATATTTTGATATAAAATATTAAATTTCTTATTTTGATACATGAACCATATTTTAAATAAAAAATGTAAACTTGCATAAATTAATTTGTACACATTTATTGCAGCATATCCTTATTGAGGGGAGTGAAAATGTTGGAGGTGCAAAGCTAGCATGTTAAAATGTAATGATTAAAACCAAAGAAAATCCATTAGCATGAGGGAGCAACACACCAAACCTTATCTATTTCACATCATTCTATACATGCACTCCCAAAGGCATGCAGGTAACATAATCTCTATCCCCACTAACCCATTAGCCTCAAACTCATTTATTATATATATATATATGAGTATTTTTTTAAAAAAAATCTCAATAGTAAATGATATTTTATAGATTTTTACTTTTAAGTAATTGGTAGGATTTCAATATTTTTATATGTATAAAAATAAGCTAGGCTTATAATGCCAATTTATAGATCAAAATAATCCTTATGTTTGCAAATATTTGTCTTAAGTTAACATTTTTTTAGTCAAACAGAATAAAATTCGATTATAAATTAAATAAAAATTTTATCACATGTTAATACAATAAAAAAAGGATCGGAGTACTCGTCCAGAAAAAATAATTTTATAAAGTTTCTTGCTGTGTGATTATTCTCATGGTTTTTTTGTATTAATATATAAAACGGAGTACCATTTGTCTTAAATAACAATCAAAATTTATCTTGTTTAATTTAAATTCAAAAAAAGGAGAAAGACTAAAGTAAAAGTCAAAATATGAAAAGAATTAAATTAAAATATGCCTTTTATATTTTTATCATCAAAATAAAACTTCCAATGCCAATAAGAATTACTCTGTATATTTACTTCTATTTTAGGTGATATTTAAAATAAACGAATATGTTGCATCATACTCCCTCGTCCCAAAATATATCTCACATTTGTTTTTTCAGCAGTCGCGGGAACTTTTGTTTATTTCTACGTTTTCATTGGTTATTTGATAAAATAAAATATTCTTGATATCTCTTATTTCGAAAAACTTTTCATGTAGTTTTTTGATACATAAATTTTAATTTTTATTTCTATACCAATATGTAAATAAAATGAATTGAAAAAACTTGATATTTTGACTCGAGAATACAAGTATGACAAATATTTAGGGACGAGGAGAGTATATACTTATGAGAACATGTTTGGTGAGTTCTCGATATATTGCATCTTGTAGCGTCACCCATATGTTGCATCATACTCCCTTCGTCCCACTCTCTTTATCCACTTACCTTTTGACATACCATCCAATGTACTTCTTTAATCAATTTTATCTTGTAACTTGTATATTAAAAAATTATAGAAATTATATATTAATAATCTATATGTTAAGACAAATCAAACAAGATCACACATGACTATATTTAGGCTTACACATTGAGAGAATTTGATGAGTCAAAGTGCTTAGATTAACAATTCCAAAAGTCAAAAGTGGGCAAAGAGAGTGGGACGGAGATAGTATATATCTCCCTCAGTTTCTGTTAAATAACTTTTTTTACCCAAACAATTTGGAACTTGTAAACAAATACGGAGTATCAAGACTTTAATGTAGAAGTAAACTTTTTAGTACTCATTTCTCCATATCTTTTTGGAGAATTAATATTCCTCCATCCTAAAATGATCTCCAGAGTCACTATTCACATGATCAAATTTTAATCACTCTCTTTACCTGTTTTCGTTAGTTATTTGATAAAATAATATAGTCACGTCACCTCTTGTTTTGTAGAAGTTTTTATGTACTTTTAAAATATATAATTTTATTTCTTAATTTTAAACCTATAATCAAATAAATTGAATTGAAAATAATTTCACTCAAACCTCGTAAACCGAACGGGGAAAATCATTATAGGACAGAAGGAATAATATTTATACTCCACTTTTTGTTATTGGCATTACAAAATATACTATATATGCAAGAGAGTGAATAGTACAATTTGAAATGACAATATAAAAAATTGGAGCTAGGAAAATATCATTTTCCTATATTTTTTGTTGTGTTGAATTCATTCATATTTAATAAAGTAAAAACTACATGTGTTTTTATAAAAATTTGATATTTCAAAATTATATTCTAGAATAAACTCAATTTTCACTAAATTTACATTATAATTAAATATACTTTTTCCATAATTCACGGTCAAATAAAGCTACAATTTGATTAAAAAAGTTAAACTGTGGCAATCTGCTAGGGAGGGAAAGAGAGGGAGTAAGTACTTGCTTTCCTATGATATCT